TCAATCTCCCCAGCTTGTAAGTAATTTTGCTTTCTCGTATTACTGGATTGCAAAACAAATCAGATCAGATATGCATGTAAATGTGGATGGTGTCGCACTGACACTTACAGTCGTTTTCTTTCGGCATAAATTGACCTTTGCAATGGGAGAAAATTCCGCTGCCCTAACGAGCATAGGTGCGCTCCGAGACATGCTACTCTCCCCCCTGCTTATTGACATGCCTTCTCTCCTCCTCTCGTCGCACACACTACACGCACCTTGTGCTAAATCTAATTTTTCTTCAAAAAAATAACGCTCAACGCGGGGTGGGGCGCTTAGCTCCGTACCAATGACTCTTACAGAAAAATATAATCATTTGTACAGTTCTGATTTTTTCTTACAATATGCTTGGGTAAATACTATTACAGTTTCTGCTAATCAGTGCATAAACACATCCCAGCAGGAAAGCATGCAGATGGGGACCAAACACACTTATAAGATACAAACTTATCTAGATACATTTATGTTGTCTTTCTTCATTGTAGCGGCCACATTAAATGCTGTGGTCTAAAATGACATGCTACAATTGTTGGGATAGCGATCTGTAGATCTGAATCCCCTGGCAGAAAATAAAACTTTACATTTTTCCCAGCTGGCTGGAAACAAAAAGGGGAGTTTTTAAGATCCCATAAATGACATTGGTTAACATTTTCGCCAGTCGAAAAAAAAAACAAAGAAAAAAAACAATTTCCTTATTGAGAAATGATTTTCATGAAATGAACCTATCATGTCTAAAAAGCTCGATTAAAGCTAACGAACATTGTTCTTTAGTAGAGAGATAACTAAAACTAGACTGCAAAACCTCGGACTCGTTGGTACGAAGTACGACTCAGCGGACCGAGCGATCTCCCGCTAATTAATTCACGTGCTCCTCTGGAATATTGCAATTTTCATGGGCCTGGTTTTTTTTCATAATTGGCCAATGAATGAAATCTTCCCACATAAGACCTGAGGTGAAAACATCGTGAAGATTGATGTAGGCCTACTATTCCAACATACGTTGCAAAGGGGATATAGGCCTATATATTTTGAAAGAAAAGAGATTAACGTTGTATTAGTGACAAAACGAAATCGACTAATTTTCTGCGATCCACGCCTGGGCAAGGCTTCAAAATTTGCTTGAATGAATCAGCTGTTCCAGATTTGCGTAGCGAGATATAATATTTATTAATGCCTGCAACATGGCATACATTGAAATGACTCAGAACAACAGGAACACGCGAAATTCCCATTAAAAACATTTTTTTTAAACATGAGATTGCGATTGAACTAATGTTGAGAACTATTCATGACGATTTCAGGACGAGAGCATCGCAGTTCAACCATGCAGAGATTGAAATCATGATGAGACCTATACACAATGATTTTGGGATGAGAAAGCATCGCAGTTCAACCGTGCACAGAGATATCACAGAAGGAGAATCACCAACAAGAGCGAGAAAAGATGGCAAGATTTCAGGTGTTGTACATACCATCAATGAGAAAATCCATGCGACGGTAATGTCGCCTTTGCCAATGATCGACTACTTTTCGCAAGCCCAGAAATGCAAAGCCCAAAACAAGCACAACAGCAAACATTGCCGCCACCACAATCGGCACTGTGTTGCTCCTAGTTGACGCTTCGACAGTTGATTGGTCATATTTACCACTGAAAGGATCCGATCCATCAAAAGCAGCAGTTGGTTTGTGATGGCGGGGCTTTGGAGTGCTCACATTATTGAGAGAGGGCTTTGGCATTTCTTCACCGATTGGTTCATACTTGGGAGTTGTAGAAGTAGTGGAAGTAGCAGTAAAATTTGATGTCTTCAAAGTTGTGGCACTCAAAACTACAGAGGATTCAGAAAGTTTGGCTTGGGAAGATGTATTCTTCTTAGAAGCATCTGTTTCTCCTTTCACATCTCCATGTGGATTACTTGTGCTGAGGAATCCAGGAAAATTAACTCCACTAACTGGAGGGATGGAAAAATTCTTTGGTAAGGAGATGTTCAATGTTGTGGAGTGAAGATTTGGAGATGGCAATACAGATGAAGTGTTAAGTGCAACTAGTCCTGATTCAATGGTCTTGCCTCCAACTTGTTTAGAAGGTGCTTGTGTTGAAGCATTTGTTGAAGGATCCCCGACACCCTTCCTAGGGCTGATGGGTTTGTGTGGAGGTCCATATTGTGTCTCCTCTGACCCTCTCATGCTTTCATGAGGTTTGTCGTTATCATCCTCAGTGTCACCAGTGAGTGGACCATTTTTCTTGACACTGGGGGCAACCTGATGGACCTTTCCTGGGGAATGGCTCTCTTCCATTTCCTTCACATGCTGACTTAAGATGGTGGAATAATCTGGTGGTCGACCCTGAGGGGCTAATGTCTGGGATGAAGACAATCCCAACAATATCACAAGCACATAAAGCATGCAGGAAACTGTACAAAGGGCCATCTTGTCTGAAGTTCTTGAGGAACCCTGAAATAAATAATATTATCCTCAGCACCTTGTTTGATGGCCACAGAACTGTGATCTCAGGACTATTGAAGAAAACACAACAATCAACACATGACTTCAGAAATCAAAGTATCAAAATTTACTACATGCACAAAAAGTACTGAATTGGCTCAGAGCTCTCTGGAGAATGAGATACCTCAACTGCATTGCAACCTGCAATGAGCTGGCTCTGAATTGCATTGTTTCTAATTTAAAATCAAATCCAAATTATTCTAGACCAAGGTAACACTAGTGCTAACATGCTGACAGCTTGTAGCTTTTCAAAAAATTACTAAATGATTGAATGAGAATTTTATGAAAGAGGTAATATTGAAATCATAAGGGAATCATTTTCTAAAAAAAAAAAAAAGGGTCCAGGACTACAACTGCTTCGCAACTTACGAACTCATCCATTTCCCTTGCCTGGAAAACAAGTTATTGATAATTTTTTATGGTCAGGATCTCATGCAAGCATTTTTATTTCTCTTACATTCCTAGTAGAATTATTTTTCGAAGTAAATGAGGTAGCCAAATTTCATTGTCACTTGGTATGCTTTCTGTGGAAAAAAATATATTGCATTTAGTAGGAAACAAGAAATAAAACACAGCTTTCAGATAGCATGATATGAGATTCTTAGGCAACAATCCTCTCCCTCACTCATTTTGTTAAAGGCATAGAATATACATCATGCAGAACAATTGATAATTGAGCATAATATTTTAAGAATATAGTATTACAAATAAAACTCCCAAGAGAAAAGCACACAAAAAGATGTAACACACCATTTGACCACTAATCTGAACAAATTCAAGACTTGAGCTACCCTGATCAAAGGGCTTTAGAGTTGAGGAGTCATCTTTGTTATGCAGGGCACACTGGGACCTCTGATGAATGGACATCACTGGAGGGTGAGGAGACGTGTCCGATGACATCTCAGCTGCAAAGGGAATCATCAACTCACTCCCATTCCTCTCACTCCTTCCCATAACAAAGACACAATAACTTACATGGCCAAATATCTTGAAATAATATCTTTTTGGCCTCAATTCCCATAGCAAGGGATACTCAAAAATAGTCTATCACACCAATGACTAGAATTATAGCAAGCATACAGGCTTGTTCTGCTCCCTCTGCATAATCACTGTTGGTTGTACTGGTACATACAGTCAAACTCAGCTATAACAGGTTGTCATACTGAGACCTCAATTATATCATTGAATAAAGCATGGTCCCAACCTAATGCAAATTTATCTTATTTAATGCAAGAATCTCAGTTAAAGCAAAGTCAACTTTTACCCCAGAAAAATTTGACAATATTGTGAAGTAACTCATTTATCATCATACTCCTGAAATTTTTGAAATTCAATTTTTTGGTAAAATGATAACTGGAAATCTCTGACTCATTTTTCGGGAACCTGCACTCCAGCAGGATCTTGTGTGTGCATGATGTTCATGACTAAGGGAGGGTGTGTGAGGATGGAGGGAGAAAAAACAACTAGACACCAAGAGATCTTTTCTTAATAGGTATTCTGAGCTCATCTGTTCTAATAACTGGGGAAAATGTAAACTCTGTTATAATGAATCTTGGCTACTCTTAACGATTTTTTCCTGGTCTCTTAAATGACATTATAAATGAGTTCAAGTGCACTGTACTCCCTCATGATAAATTTTAATACTTTTCCTAATCAGGTTCTTGGACTGCTACAAGTAGAAACCATAAAAAGGTGAATCTTGCTGAATTCTAAGTCTGCTGTAATGGGACAAGAAAACAACCCTAACATCAGGAAGACTCATTCAATCCTCTTCAAGTAGCACCTCATTATTGTAGAAAGCACTTTTTCTTTTTGTTAACCAGTTGTTCCTCTATTACAAAAAAATTATTCCAATCTTCCATTGCTTCAAATGAGTGGAGAAAAACCCATAAACTCTTTTACTGGGGCCTGTAAGTGAATCTCCTATGGGTGATGAATTATGTGATCTGTTCATTTGAATTTTAGAATCAGAGCAAAACTTGACACAGCATTAGACAAGGATCCTCTCTGGCTTTCAGATTCTAGATCTGTAGATCGATCCAAAAATAACTCCTAAGACCTCTCCACCAGGAGTGGTCTATCTCCTGGGGCTATCAATAGGTTAAAACAGGTCGAAAGGTAGGAATGAGGCTTTTTGTGTGGGGCTAACAGAAGCTGAGGAGATGCAAGAGACATAAAACTTGAACCACTGTTCCTAAAAGACCAGATGAGGCAGAAAAAAACTTTTCAAACTGATTTGTCCCAAAGCTAACATTTGTGAATACTAGTAAAACCCAACTCACTTTTACACTTACATGCTGTTGCAATTTATTTTTGCTTTCTGAACTTTCTGCTTTGGTAACAATACTTTTTCTTCATCAGAGGTGGTTGCAGAAGAACATATTACAAAAAGGAAGAAAAGGTACTATCACAGGGCTGTAAAAGTCAGATTATTGCAACAGACAGGAAGAATGAGATGTTCAATCAAAGAAAAGTGCAGCTCCTAAAAGGATCCCCATGAACATGGCACCCATGAAAATCACAGAAATGATCAAAAACTTCATGATGATTTTTGGCAACCCAAAGCATGAGACCTGAATGGTGAAGACTTTCTCCTCAATGCCTCTTTCCCTACTGATACCAGAATCCATCCCAAGCTTCTTATTTGTCTTGTTTTCCAGACTCTCTGGAGATCGCATGATTGGTAGTTGATCACCATCTTTACCTGTCAGCTGATCTCTCTCCATGAATGACCTGGCATCATCTCTTGCTGGCGTCTTGAACACACAGCGCAGCTTGCTGTCACAAATGGCTGAGGGTGGTGCTTCACTGAAGAGCTTAACATGATTTTTCTCACCAACAGGAGCAATCATTCTTTGGATCATGAATTTGTCCTTGTACTCCTTCTCTGGATCATACTGGAAAGGTGACAACATGACCTTGAGTTCACGTCTTTCATGGGGTTGAAGAATGCCACCATTAGGCTTGACACAGTAGTTCTTTGGGGCAGTAGTGCGGACTTTGAAGGCCAAAGGTTTAGGCATGGGATTTGTGAGCAAAATCTGTGATATCACAGTCTCATTGAAAGGACCTTCAAAGACTAATTCTTTATCAGGTGCCATGATGAGTTCAGCCTTCTTTGGATTCTCACTGGATGAAGATGAATCATTCATTTCCCCCATCTGTACACCTAAAAATAAAAATATTTGACTTCATTTTCTCAATTCAAAGATAACTACTTATTCACCATTGAGAACCTGATTTACCTTTAACATACTATTGATTTATAAAATTTTTCTATGAGCAGGGTGGCCAAAAAAAAAGGCCACACTTTTCAATGTGCATTTTAGGTGTAATGCTTTCAAAAATTTTTTTTCTGGTTAAATGTACTGGTAAGAAGACTCAGCTACAAAATGCCTTTTTCAGACTTGAAATATCTTCAACGATGAATTAGAAAAAATATACATTTCGGCTACAAAAAATAGACGTTGCACTCACTGACTTGACCAAACATCCCCCCAATGGTTTGACATTCAAAAGAAGGGGGGAAAAAATCCTGGCCTCAGGAAACATAGTGAGGATGATTGGATGTGCCCACCACCATATGCAGTTGGTGAGCTCAACACTGATTTTTTGTATCCAAAATCCAATAATTTTTTCTAACTCACCGTTAAATTATTTCAAGTCCAAAAAAGCCATTTTGTAGCTAAGCCTTTCTTCTTTCCATAGCATGTAACCAGAAAAAATATATTTGAAAGCATCACATCTAAATTGTACATGGAAAAGGGTGCTCTTTCTTTTGGGCCACCCTGTAGCATATCAAGTACCTAGTTCTGCCAAAATACTGTTACAAAATTTACATGTTCCTTGCATTCTAGCAAAATAAGCTAAAATCTTGTAACCTAGTAAACCTGCAGTATATTATCTACTGTATTGTTTGGTAACATTTTGGCTGCTGTTTTTATGTGCAGTAAATATGGAGTGGGGTGACAAAGAGAATCGCATAGCAGTGATTGCCCTGCACAAAGTGGGTCAGAAACCTGCAACCATTTTCGAGACTTTGCAGCCACTTGGAATCAGTTGGCAGTTTGTTTACCAAGCTATCAAACACTACAATGATACTCAGGGAGTACGAGACCATCCTAGATCTGGACATCCACACACTGCCAGAACACCACAAGTCATCAAAACAGTTAGCAACAGGATTTGGCAAAGTCCTCACCACAAGCAGAAAGTGATGGCCAGGGAAATGGCCATTTCTACTAGAAGCATGTCTCAGTGGATTAAATCAGACCTAAGGATGGGTGCTTACCAAAGAAGCACAGGACACATGCTGACTCCATCTCTGAAAGAAATCAGGTCATAATCGAAAGCATTGCTGCACAAAACAGACACCAAAAAATCCTCCTTACTGATGAGAAAATCTTCACAATTGAAGAAAAATACAACCGAAAAAACAACTAAGCGTATGCCCACAACTTTCAGGAAGCTGCCGAAGTCATCCATAAGGTGGAGAGAGGCCACCATCCTGCTTCCATCATGATTTGGTGGGGGGTGAGCCATGCAGGTGTCACCAAGCTGTATTTTTGTGAGCAAGGAGTGAAGAAATCAGCCAAATTGTGTAAGGAAGATGTCTTAGAGAAGACAGTGAAGCCTCTCAGCCAAACAATGTTCAATGGGGGCAACTGGATCTTCCAGCAAGACTCTGCACCAGCTCACAAGGCTAAGACAATGCAGGGGTGGTTAACCAACAATGTCCCTGAGTTCATAATGGCCCCAGATTGGCCATCTGGGACTGGGCCCACAGTTTGTAGTCCAGTGGGTTCAAGACCCACTGGACTACAAACTGTGGGCAGAGTTGGAGCTGATGGCCTGCCACAGAAGATATCCAAATATTGAAAGTCTCAAGTGAGCCCTTGCAAAATTAGCAGCCAATATCTCCATGGACATGGTGCATACTGCGAATGATTAGTGGCCTGATCGTTCAAAGTCATGTGTGAAGGCCAGGGGTGGACATTTTGAATAATGTTTCTGTAATCTGTTAGTAATTATGTAGGGAAATAAATGCTGTTAGCAGATACAGCATATGTTTTACATTAACAGAGTTATTACAAAAAAATCTTCTAACAGTACTTATGGCAGGACCAGGTACAAAGGTTCCAATACTTGATGGCTCTACTAATTTTCATGGCAAATATCCAGTTTAAACAATGAAGACTGATATTAAATGGATTGATTTTCATGAGCTTATAAAACTGATATAGTGCTTGGTTAAGTCTTTTTTGATACAGTGGGCAATACTTTATCACATTGATGTAATCATATACAATAATATATGGTTGATTACAATAAGTGGCAATCAATGAAAACTTTGAATTCAGTATTTTTTCTGTCAAATCCCCTTTATTCATCCAAACTAATATTGATACTGGTAAAATGTTACAAGTCCCTTGATTTCGATCTCCTGTTGTAGTTTAGATTAACATTAATTAAGGCTTCATCCAGCCCTCTTGTTCATGATCAAAATTACTGAATTCATTCAACATTTACCCTCACCAGATTTCTTCATACTTCTTTGGTATGTTGTAAGCACCATGTAAATAAATACGCATTTCTGCTTCCATCCATGGATTCATCAAGACCACAGGTTCATTTACGCCTGCAAATACTGTACTATAGGCTTAAGCTCAACGTTTCGGCTTACCCAATGATACATGCCTACGGTTTTGTCTGAGTCTTATGTAAAAGAGAATAGTTCTTGCCCTGGAATTCCTGAGACTCGTCTTCTAGTCCTGTTTCTTGCCTGAGTACCACTTGATAGCTTCCTATTACGGTAATCTCAGATTTAGCTTGGCTATGATCCACATATAGGTACTATGGGGGCTGTTACGGCGTACGATAGTTGGCGGATGGGTCACCTCACAGTGGCCACATGGAGGCAGCCACACTGGCTACCAGGGTGGCATTCCCAGAAACTGAGAATTACCAAAATCATAGGTTCGAAACTCTTAGAAGAATGAATTTTCGAATGAGACTAACATTTTTTAAATTTTATCCTAGCGGATCATTTTTTGGAATGAATTATAATGAGGTGACGCAGAAGATTGAATCACGAAGAAAGGATTAGGAATTGGGTATTATCGTGTGCTGACGTTGCATTTGCTATATGGCAGCGTGCATGAGAAAGACATGGCCTGTTGGGCAAGAATGACGTCGTTCATGCAAGTGAAGTAATGCTTGTGAATTTGAGGTATTGTAAGTAGCTTTACGAACAGCCAGCCTTTTTATAATTGTGTTACGTCTGAAATGAGCTAGTCTCCCGGATTCATCTGTGCCTCCAACACGTCTTCAACGTGAAATGGCGTATCATCGGCAGACGGCTCAAGATCGAAGGGACTTCGACAAGTTCACGAAGTTCTTCGTCTTAAAAAGCGTTCAAGTCCTCGTACAGTCCCGCTTGGGAGAGAAAATTAACATGAAGAGTAAGCCTTCAGTATCAGGAACTGATTGGGTAAGTCATAATTTGGTTTTCACTAACGTCAGGCCTGTACAAATATGGAAATTTGACCCATATGCCGATTCTGATAACCTTTCTTGAAAGATTACTGGTACCCGTATTTCTGCGTGCGTATAGGATAGATCATTTTTGCAGAGCTATTGTCATCAAGGTGAACTTAACTTGAATCAGATGCATCAGTTTTACTAAGAGCATGATGTGAAAAACCATTATAATGACTTGTTATATGAAAGCATGTATTAGAAGTCACCAAAAATCATGAGGGTAAGGAGAATAGCATTACATATGACTGCTATTTGGAAAAACTTGCACTGTAGGCCAAGCCCAACTGACATTCAGCATAAGCTACATCTAGAGGCCTAGGTTCCATGCTAATGTTAGGCCTACACACATTTAAGGTGACCAGACCTATTCAAGGATTAAGAGTTTTTTGGAGGATTCAATGGGAATGCAATTGCCTCTCATGTGCTCTTTCATCTAACATTAGTGCCATGTAGTGGGAAGTTGTACTACTTTTGCTGCCACACTTCTAGCCCTATGCATTCACACTGTTTTGGAATTGGATTCATCTCAAACTTCTCCCTATAGTGGAGTATTAAGAAAGCACAACTTCCAGAGGATCTGTTTAACCATATGATCCATGAAACCAATCATGAAAGATTTCACTGCCTGTGATCGATAGAATTCTTTGGAAGGTAATAATACATTGCTTGTTGAACATGCAGAAATAAAAATAAAGTTCAGAAGAAAAAAAATAATAAACAGATAAACCATACAGCCCAAAGATTGGTTTCATGGAAACACCTGAATCAGTTGGTTTCTGGTGTTCAGCCTAAGGATTGGTACAGCCCTAGTCTTCACCTTAAATCACTTTATGCCTGGTTATTCTCATAATAGTTTAACTTCTTTTCCTATCCAGTTCAATTTGGCCATCAGGGATGTCTCTGAGGTCACTGCAGAAGCAAAGAAGGCTCTTGGTGGTCATCTTCCATCAGATGGGAATCCTGTATGCATCGAGTTTTCTTTGAAAACAGAAGATGGAGAAAGTATGGTCCTGGAGACTTGGTGCCTATCGGTGACAGAAGAAAGTGATCCCAACGTTCGTGTATCGTACACTGCATACAACAGGATGGGGCTACTTCTCAAAAGCCTCATTTGTGTTTCTCGAACAACTCCTGCTTATCACCTATCAAGAAGACAAAGCATTGATTCATATGTCATTTGCTACAGGATTTATTTGGGTGAACCCCAGTTACAAAGTCTTGGTGAGTATTCATTGCATTTGGATCCAGGAATGGAAGTGAATACTCAATCTTACTCTTGTAAGCCTTGTGGCATGATAGACTTGCCTTGAGACTCTCTTTCCACACTGCACTCACCTTGTGATATAGAAGGTTTCATGGTTTCATGATAGCACAGTTGAGTGAAAACTGGACTGCAGTTTTTAAATCAGCCAATTTGATAACTTGCATCAGTGGTGCAACCTTGCACAGCCATATTTTCCATGGGAAACCTTTTGAGCAGTTGTTTAAAAGGAGCAATAGAAGTTACAGTTCCCTGTTCCTGTAACAATTTTCATGCATGATACATTTTTGATACAATGAATGCATCTTGTTGTTGTCTTGCCTTTTTAAATCATTATCAACTGAAAACGATTGATTCTTTGACTTGATGCCAGAACGTTCTATCTGTCTGAGTCAAGTATTTCCTGTAGCTACCAAAGTAACATCTAGGTCATAATCCAGCTGCCTTGTTTTTGAGAAAATTAGCCTGTTTCATTGGACATACGTGTCCTGTTGTTGAAGGAGAGTGGCAAGGGATTCATGTGGGATAAGAGAATTGACTGCTGGGTGTACAGGGCATTTCCAAAGATACTTCTGCTGTTTAAACAACTGCCTCCAGGACACCTATTGACAAAATGTTGTGAAACTTGGCATGTAGACCAATTTGACCATGTGGAAGAAAACATGCACGGTCGTGGTGGTTTATGATGGCATTATGGTCACACTAGATGGTACCTATGATCCACAAATGGCATACATTTTTATAATAGCTGTTCGATGTGCTTTCCTTTCCCTTTTGTGATGGTCATAATCTCCAATTGTGGCAACACATTCCAAACTGCTGCTCAAAGCATATCAGGGTATGGAGCAGACTTCCTGCCGTATGTTCTCCTTCATGTTATAGTATGTGGTGAGGCCATTGCAGTAAACACAGCTCTTGGGGTAACCCCAAAGGCATAAATCTGCTAGGGTGAGATTTCCTGGAGACAGTCATCTGAGTAGCGGAAGTGACTTTTGAATAACCCTGTACATGTCATTCAGGTATTCATATGGCAATGTGTGTGTGTGAATGATGCTTTTGAAACAGTTATTGTTAAATTCAGAACTTGAGAATTGATGATAACTTATTAAACTTTGGATTGTGGCAGTGTGGAAACCTGGGTACAATCAGATGCAAATGAGTAAGAGCCATGGGAACCCAAAAATAAATTTTTTTGACAGGTTCAGAAAAAGGGCAAGTGGATGCATGCACCATACACACATTTGCGTAGATGGCTGCCATGTTAGATAGTACTATTAGAAGTTTTGAATTAGGTGGCAAGGGTTAAGATGTGGACCAGTAGACAGGTTGACAAATTGGGAGGAGGCATATCATTGGGTTGACAGACATACATGTAATGCTGTTGACCATTTGCAGTTCTGTAATGAATGTTTCATTAACTTGCCAAGCCAATTCGTCAGAAAATAGGAAAATGTGTTCATCTTTGTCATGTTCTTTGTAACCTGTATCATATCTTATATTCCTTTCAGTATGTCATGGCCTGGTCTTTTTTCCAACCTTGTTGACTCTCCCTTATCCCATGTATCCTTGACTCCTCTGTTATATGCTTCACTAAAATGGGGACATTTCATTTGTTTTCTCAGGTCTTCATGTGGTTTTTTCCATTAAGTTTTGCATCCTTCAAAGACCTCACTGAGTTATCTGGACAAAATGGAGGGGTTCTTTTCACATGCAGCTCTTTCTCTGCTCACTTCTCTGAAAGGCATACAAGAAAAATCCCCAACCCCCTCCCCCAGATATATCACCATCTTTCACTTCTTGCTAATGCCCTCCAATCTACAACATCATCAAATCTTCAGAGGATCTCTCTGGGTCATGACATATACTGGTAGCCTTTCCTCCTTCCTCTACTTACCTTCCCAAAAGATTTTTTGTATTCAAGAGAGCCCAAGAGATGTTCATTGAAAAGGACAACTATACTACCTTCTTCATATTTCTAACCTCAATGATGCCCTGCAAAGATTAGTCCACATACTATGCTCCAAGCCTGTCCAGCTATCAACCCCTGCAGCTGTCTGTTCCCTTTATGTCCAAATGTCACCTCATCCTGTCAACCTTTGGAACCATGAAAATATGTCTTCATCAATCTAATGGCCTGTCAGCATCATCTGTCCATCTGTATGCCACTCATCTGATTATGGCCATAGCATTTTGCATTTCAAAGGCTCATGGACATGTCCTTATCTACATCTCTGCACAACAATTGATGCATTATGGCCTATCATGTTACATGAAGCAATAAGAGCAAAATTGCATGAAAGTATTGAAATGCCTTTTGGTATCCTTAGGTAATCGAGAACATATGACAACCGTGCATGCAATATACATATCAATCTCTTGGCTTTAAATATATATCCCCTTTACCATTTTATAAGATGGCTATAAGTTTTTCTATCTACTGCCATAATGTGACCTTTCATGACTGATATAGTTTGTCAGGAGAAATGTGCAAATGAACATTTCTTTTCCCCTCCTCTGACAGCAATGGCATGTCCATGTAATTGGGTTTATGTAAAGTACCCTTTAACACTTTCGATCCAATGGACTGTCCAGCCTTAACTGGCATTGGGCAACAGTGGATGCAAAAATATATTCTTTGAAAATGTTCACATTTTTATGTAATTTTCCACAATAAAATAGACCTTATACTTCAATTTCCAAAAAAGAGCATGTCTCTTAACATTTTGTGTTCCGAAGTTATAAACTTTTTTTTGCAGACTTCAAAAAGCTTCTATCACACCTTCTGGAGCAAAAGTGTTATGATCTGGTATCTCTTAAACATGAATACTCATGGTACTAGAGTAAAAGTAGTAATCCCCTAAATTAGTGGGATTAGCACCAATGTTTGGTTTTCAGCCAGTTTAGGATTGTAATTTGTTCATCATTCCTTAATGGTATACATTCTTCCTTTTTTTGTCCAGCAGCACAATATGAGTAGGTATGGGTTTGATAAAGATGATGACCATTGAAGCCTTATAGCTGCCAATAATTCCCTTTATTTGGGTGTCCAAACTTAGATGCAAAAAAATGAAGTTCGAACACAACGTAGTTGGGACACAACGGAAGTAAGGCAGAAATATGCTCCTGCCATGCATATCCCAATATAGCAGTATGTTACATTCCCTAGTTTCCTGTTGAATAAGAATTTATCATATAATTAACAATACCCCTTGGGAAGCATTTCTCAAGTAAGGTCATCTACATACATTTTCTTGAAATTCTCCTGTCCAGGACATGACATTCATTTCTGCCCGATATTTCAAAATTGTGTTCAACGATTGTGGACTCCACAAGTCTTTCACTTAGTAACATGATCATCTTGGGTTAAGAAGAACTCTGATGTCAATCTCACAAATGCATATTTATTAACAATAAATGTTAAGATGTCCAAACTTAGGTGGTTTTACCATAGCACACAAGTGTTGCAGCTGAAGTATAACTGTTGAAAATTGAATAAAATTCTGGAATGACCATGAGAATTTCATCCAGATCTGATGAAAATTCACCCTGTAGCAGTAACTTAAAACCCATTCAAAATTGTTGCCATCCACCCAAATACAAGTGTACAGACATTGCTGCAATTCCTCCATACTGTTGATAGGCTACTGAGCCACATTGTTCCAGCATTGCACAAAAGCTCATTCACATTGTGATGAGTTCACTTCACAAAGCACGTCATGTTGAAGGGAGAACTTTCACTAATTAACATTGGCTTATGACACAGAGCCAAAAAAGCAATCAGATCCAATCCATCTGTTGCAGCAGACATACCATCACTCCCCCTCAGCAGAAGTGGACACAAACTGCCTGATTAGCAGCAAATGTGTTGGCTCATGTACTGCCTTTTTTTTACATCTTTGTTTGTGATCATTATTGACTGATTTGCACACCTTGCGTATGTTATCTTGCACACGTGCAGATAATTCAGTCACCATTCTAATGGCAAATAGCTTTTCACTGTAGCCTCTGGTTGCTGCTTCCTATTTTGCTTAATTTATGGTACAACTTTTTTTTAATGAACACCATGTGGTTTTCTGTGAGAACATATGACCTGTTGCTCATTTATTTTGTCATTTTTGGCCAATGTAAACTCATTTGGATGTTCTTTATTACTTGGCTTTCATTCAAGGTGATGGAGCTGAAAATGTTCGTGTTGGTGGAGTGATCACACCTTTGGGTACAATTCAGGCATCTGTGTCATGCCGGACAAAACTGACACTCAGTCCACAACGCCTGAACAAGTCTTTCCCGGTTGCAGTCAAAGATGACTATTTCCAACAAGATAATCAGCGTATCTTCCATGAAAATGGGACCTATGCCAATGGAAGGTATGATTACGCCTGCTCCCTCTATGTTCTTTTTTGTTCTCCAATACCTGCACACATAATTATGCTTTTTACTGTCTGTATAGCCAAAATGTTGAGCCTAAGTGTTTCTGACTTTCCTAAGACTTTGTACATCTTAAACTGATACAGATTCCATTACAGAAAGGAGGAAATATCAAGGTAGTCTTCTATGGTTTCCATTGGAGTACAAGATGGTGAATTTGTTTTCATAATTCTGCCCTGCTTCTGTACAGCTCTCATTGAAAAAAATTTCCAGGTCATGCAAGATTTCCTGTAGAAGTATGAGGAAAGCTTATAAATGAACTATTTGCTTTAAGTTATTTGAGTGATGATTGGACAGGTAATAGGTCTGTCATTCCTTGTTGGGGAAGAAATGGTATTCCCAAGAATGGCTTTGTCAATTGCATGAAGTGGCAAAAATTTTTATTTGCTTGTTACGGAGAGAATGTGATGGATAAGCAGAATTAATTTTTAGCTAGAACTGTGTTCCAAATGTATCTCAGGTTTCAGCATGTCCCTAATATGTATTATTTATTATTCTGTCCTTTCTAGGAGTCCTCCTGAGAAGAAGGCTCAAGGATTTGAAGAAGAAAAGTAAGCACATATAGCTTTCTCAGTTAGCTGCATATATACAGGGTGGCGCAAAAGTTGCACACCATGGGGGAAATTACAGTCAATGTCCGAATCATTTGCCATTACCTTGAAAAGACTTTGATTCGTTGCACACATTTAAACATATCTTAAGCCCACCCTCACTTCTTTTGTTAATTTTGCAGCCATCACTTACCTGCAAAGAAATAAACAGGAATTAAGGTAGTGCAACAATGAAATCCCCTATGGTGCACAACTTTTGTGCCACCCTGTACAATGCACTCACAGTAATAAATACTACATTTGAACTTGTTGATGGATTAAGAGAGTTTTGAAAATTCCTGTAGAAGAGATATCAGTTGTATAAGGCAGTGGTTCCCAAACTGTGGGTTGCGAGAGGCATCAAGGTGGGTCACATACATTTTCCCAGCATAAAAAAATCACTATATCATCATCCGCTCTGGATAAAACTTGCCCTGCAGAAAAGGTCAATCAGTTTTTTTCATGTCTTAATTACTTTGAAAATACCTCGTCCTGGATTCCAGTGGGTTGTGATTCAAAGAAGTCTGGGAACTGCTGATATGAGGAGTATGGACTTGATGTATAGGTATGATTTTTGGAATTCTGACTGGTTGTGGGAGACTGATGACTCAAGGAGACTACTTTTTTGGATCTCTATTACTGGACCAGTGGTGGAAGTACTGAAAAATATTTATTGGCATGTTAACCACAAAAGGGTGAAACACTGATCTTCCCTATGGTGCCATGTGACACACCAGTGTTTCACATGGCATCACAGGGAAGACCAGTATAGTAATATGTAGGTTGAAATCTATGTGTTGCTGATCTTTCAAATGTAAAGTGCCTGAAAGCTTTATCATTAGGCTAGTTCTGACTTCATGGAACAGTGCTTCTTGTTCCCAAGGCACAGACCAATTTAGTGCAAACACTTGTAGGCATATTTGCACAAATGAGGTACCAATAAACTTGGCTCAATGTAAAAAAAAAACATATCTTGAACGAAACATGCAAACTTTTTCATCTGGTAAATCATAAAATTTTCATAATTTTGCTGCCTTGAGCTAGATGGAGCTTTATGTAAATCTTCTGGCTGAGACATCATATCACCCCTCATTTCTGAATGAAATTTGGCTGCTATCATACAGCCTGGGTGGAAACAGCTAGTGAAATTCAAAATTTCTATTTCTTGAAGCCCTTGACCAAGTCTTTTATGTAGGGATAATTATCACATTTCAAATATGTGATGGCTGATTTGTTTAATTTATTTCATGGACAATGCTCTGGTCTCTTACTCTAGAAAATTCATGGGTATTATTCAGATTTCTCAGCCCATAACAATGAAAGTTATGGGCTAAGTTTCAAAATGGTGCCTGGGGTGTACCTCAATATTTGGTTTTTTTCTAATTCCAGAGATGTGTTTGCAATACGGAAGGTGGGAGCCTTTGCAAATGATTCCCTATCAAGCATGTCCTCGCAGATCTTCATGCAAGAGTCACCAATGCTTTTGTTGCTCAGTAAAGGTGACAGCTCTAGCATGTCAACTAAAACTGGAGGAAGTGATACATCGTGTAGTGATGCAGTGATGAAGTCTGATAATGAAGGAGAAGAACATGTCCCAGGTGCCACTAAACCCCAGTGCATTCCAAAACGAAAGGAAACCCAGCTGAATCATATTCTGAAGCATGTTACTACTCGAAGTCCCACACTTTCTGATCGAATGTCCATTGCCTCAGACAGTCCTCCACCAGATGATTTCGTTATGGTGGAGTTGGTGAGTTCCCTATCATACCACAGTATTCAACAATATATTTCCAAAGGAAATAATACCAAATGAAAATCTCTACAGAAATTTGAGCAGCTTCTCAATTGAATATTTAAAGCTCATTGAGACTTATTGAGTGAGTATTGGGGATCAAGTTTAGATGCATTAAGTTGTGTTTTCTGTTTCTCTGGCAGAATCCTCCATTTGGTACAACAGATGCATCCAAGGACTTGGGCGCTTTTTATCGCATGTGTCAATCCCGGCCTCCCCTCTTGGCATTCTCTGACCCTGTGTCATTGAAGGAAGAAGTTGAGAACCTTGAGGAACAGTTGAAGAGTTTTGAGCTGGAACAGAGTGAATTTAATGAATTTGTTCACACTTTGTGTTCTGGTCGTGAGGAGGCCACTGTTTGGCATGCTCGTGTAACATAGTTTTCATCATTGGTTCCCTTCTGCTTGCTTTAAGAGCTTCATGAAATAGTTCCAGTGATATCTCATCATACTTCTTTGAGGAAATGTTTCTAGTTTCATGTGCTCCATGTTGAAATTCATGAGAAAGGGAGCATATACCTGCTCAAAAATTCTGATTGGGCTTATTGCAGAAATGATAGGCCTCTATTGGTGCTATTTGTTTTTGAGGTTACTGCTAGGTGTTTGGCGAAAGAATTTAAAGTGGTCTTCTTGTGCTCTTGTTGATTGCTGCTACATTGTGCCCCTTTTAAATGCCAGCACAATGAGTGAGGTATACCTCACTGTTGTCTGGCTTTTGTGATATTGTGCTCATTATCAGCCAGGAAGAGATTTTCCCATTACTTTCTACTCTCGTTTGTGCATCATAAGACTTGAAAGTCTCTCCCTGAATTGTCATGATTCTTTATTTGGTTTTCTTCTGCATCCCATGTTCTCACATTGAATAAATGTTATATTCCTGCAGTGTCTGGCTAGTTCATTGGGGATTCTGAAGAGACACATCTGTGTACATTTTGTTTGTCTAGCACGAAGTCAGCATAGATGTTTGATGTGAGACTTTTTCACGTTTACACGAAAAAGTCTCACATCTTTTAAGTAGTCCAAGCTATCTTTCTCAAGTTCTTGTTCTCATTTCAACTGATTAAGAATTCCTTCTGCTTCGTGTAGAATTATGCTAATTTGAAAAGATTAGCATGCCAACTGTTGTTGGGGCTGACTCAACATTCAGCCTGCTGAAATCCTAAAATCCATTAATACCTTTCTTTGGCTGGGACTTTTGCCATTTAATGGCTACAAGACTCATGATTCAGGAGTTCCCTTTCACTTTTGATGAGTGAAATGATGAGGATAATGCACTAAAATATGGATTTTGGTGAATATCAGGGAAATGTCTGGCACTGAACCTGGAGCTGCTGCTACTGTTCTGAGGAGAGCAGTTGAATTGGATGAAAAGAAGCGATACACAGAAGCATTCATTTGCTATGAACAAGGCCTACAACTACTTCTAACTGAACTCAAAAGTAACTTAGTGTATTGGTCAATATGAAGTATTCACTTCTGCTGTTACCATTTGTCTGTGAGGATGCATGACTCTAGCTGTACAGGATGAAAGGATGAGGTTAGCAATGAGGAGGAAGGCTGAGGAATATATGAAGAGAGCTGAGAAACTGAAGAGCATGATTGAGAATGCGAAAGCAACCGGTGACTTTCATGAGCAGCAAGCCATTGAAGATGGGTCAATTGGACATAGTTATGAGAGTGTTTTTGGTCACTTCATGGATAACCTGGTGGAAAAGGTTGAAGTTGATGATGCATATGTCAGATCCATACATCAAGTGAGTTCCATTCTCAAGAATAGTACTATTGATTTCTGAAAGGACAGACACCAACTACCTCCTTTGATATAGATCTACAATTTCCTGCGCTTCTGTGAGCTATGTGTGAAGCGATGCAGTCAATTGAAATCCATTCATCTGAACACTGGTCAAGGTGTGTCAGTAGAAGAAAATGCTTTGCAAATAACTAGGCTTCAGTCCCTCCAATCGAGTCTTCAACAGCGCCATATTGGCTTGACGTGGGATTTCTCTCAGTCTCTTCATGACAGGGAGATCCGGTAACACTCTCTCCTAGATATCTGTCCCTTAATCTCTTGAGATCCAAGTTTAACAGAGAATATCAGGATCTACTATCAAGTCAAGGAGATATCTTTGTCTATCAGATTTTTTTTTATTCTGAAAATAATATAAAATGTTAAAATGTACTTGAGATTCTGACAAATGTAAAAGATGTTTCAGATAGAAATAATGTTTGTAAAGTAATTAAATATTTCTAAAACAAATTTAAAACATTTCAATTAAATTTTTTCTTTAAAAATTTTCTGAGAGAAAAATGTTATTGATGTTCCTTTAGATCTGATTTAGTATTACATGTCCACAGGATTATTGCATAAATGTGTAGTTTTGTCTTTTGACTATGCCTTCCATTAGGGTTTTTTTCCTGGAATTGCAAGCAAATATAAATGCATTTTACCTTAGTAGAACTAGCTCTGCTTGGCAGTTTCCATGAAATGTTCTGAAATTTCTAGCCTATGAAATTGAAAATTCTCTCATATTCAATTGCAAGATTCACATGTAAACCTGGGACAAGCTGTGTTGAAATGATGTACTGCAAATCTATGAAAGTGCAACAAGCAGTTGCTGAAAATTCAAAGAAAACTACTCATATATGTATACCAGGGGTCTCAAGAGCTTAGAAATAAATCAGCTGTCACATGGTTTGTCTCATGGGTGTTGACAGGTTGGACAGTGGTTGGGTCATCAAGATTGGCCGTGGGCTAGACTACTTCAAGCCCCCAGAGAATAAGTTCTGCATTGGCTATTGTGATTATGATCTACGTCCATGTCACCAAACAACTGTTGACATCTTCCATTCCAAGAATGTCAGACCCATATCCAGTAACCAGAAGAGATGACTGAAATGAATCATCATAGAATCATCTCTTTATATTTCATTTTTGATAATACATATATTTTTTTCCCATTATTCATGTTTTTTTTCCCCCTACCCCAAACATTTTTAGTTAGCTGGGCACCTTGTGGGAGTACAGTTTGACTACGTAGCTGGAAATTTGCCTTAGAAATGGCTCTGGCTGACTATGCTTGCCAACTGTACTCTTATATTAACGCCGAGGAAACCAAAGTATTTTTTAAATAGGGCTGTACACAACCCCAATCAAAATTATTGAGCATGATAGAATATAATTGCTCCAAATCTCCCAGTGTGACATCTATTGTCCCCAATGGGTCATATTGGGGCATTAAAAATGCCTGATTGAAGTGATGGAAGTTGCCTGAACTGGCCATTTTTTAAAGCCATTCCGGCAAAAAGTTCCGGCCGGAAATATTACAGGTTCTACTCGGTTTGTGATGGACTTTTCCGGCAGGTGGATTACCATGCAGGAAACGTCACTGGTTCCAATTGGGAATTAGAAAGTGTGCATTTTCCGACAGGAGAAGCAGAGAATCCGGCAGAAAACAGCATGAATTTCTAGCCGGATCCTGTTGGTTCATTCCAGCTGGAAACAGCATTCTAATTTTCGAACATTCCGGTTGGAAATGCAACTCCTGCTGGAAGTGGGTCACATTTACAGATGGAAAGCTTGCTGCTTCTAGCTGGAACTTTTTGCTGGGATGATAAAGGTGGGAGGAAATATGCATTTAATTCTGTGTGAGACTCTTGGTGTCCCAGTTATACGTGATGGCTGGGATGATTAAAGGTCGATGGTGTGAATCTTGGAAAGTATCTTCAAGATCAATAACTAGACCTGTGATATGATTCATTTTGAAACATTAAAAAATTCAGATGATTGACTCCCTCCTTTTAGTTTTCTTTGACATGCATGTACCATTATACGTCGTATAAGAATGAAATGACGCCCAGCACGTCCTGCCCATCTGCCAACAAACTCATCTGCTTTTGCTTGGTTCATTTCTACCCTTTCCCTGTCATTTCTGCATGATCGGAATTTCACATATAGAGAGGTCCTTGAAGACGCCTCGGGGAATCCTTTGGAAAATCAGCAACAGCAGGCTGTTGACAACGGGACAGATGCTCCCGCACACTTGGGCTCTCAAATTTAAATCGAAATGAGGATTTGCTTCTCAACTTTCTCTCGACTTTTGATGGAAGTGAGTAAGATCCTGACTTATCTCTTGGTCATTCCCTTTGACAAGGTATTAGAAGCCAAAAATCCTTTGGAACGAAGAAAAGAATGGTAATCGAATGGGATCTCGCTCCCACAAACAAGGAAACTAAACTTCAGAGGGTAAAACCCAATTGCCTTCGTAGACATTGTTTTCCAGTTGACTTTCACTGTCTTCCCGTCTGTGGCGCTACTGTCGAGGGTACTTGATGAGACACCCAGTGAGTGCAAGTATAGTCGGTGGAGAGCCGTAGTGACGAATGAAGCGCGTGGAACGACATCTTTTCCAGAGCGATGAAAAAGTTATTGAACAGCTCGACAGTACGACCCAGTCGAACGCTATCCAGTGACGTATAAGGGGGGAGCTCAGAGGGCTAAGGTTCCCCTCACCCGCTTGTCAGCTTCGTGGCAACTCCAACGGTTGTCATTCAGCCAGCTGTCTTGAGCTTCTACTTCCTTAAAGCTTGCGTACACCACAGAGAAATTGCAAGATAACGAAGGGTAAGTGAATCCGAAAACACTGCTTTGAGGTGCATGCAGTGCCATGTCCTCCCCGAGAGGTGATTCTTACAGGAAAATAGAATCTCATTGCGGAACGAATCGTTGTGATTAATTTTCAATGCATCGAGTGCCCATGACCAGAATGAATGCCCTGTGTCTTCCCAAATTACATGTTCCCATTTCTCTACCTCTAATAAAATAATTAGTATGAAATTAACATGCATTATATTCTCCCCCCTCCATGCGATTGCACATATACCATTATGAAAGAGGGCTGCAATCTGAGAGGATGAGAAATGAGCTACGAAGACCTGATTCGGGTTGGAAAAGATAAACTGGAGAGAGAAGGCCCTTGATCTATTTCTACATTCCTTCCGTCATCTAACGAATTTAATCTACCTCTCCTTTCGTTCACGTGAGTGTTTTCTTAAATCCCACTCAAACTAAATGATGAGAAATGGTTTTCGCGTTTTGACACGAATGCGGAGAGCGCTATTATTCGTTTTTCCGCGAGTGCCATTTCTTTCCGTTTGCTTCTCCATTTGTGACGTCATTCTTGTATCCCGTGAATATAAATGCTGCCCGTGTATTTTCGCGTTCTTCCCCACGCAGTTTAGCTGCGACCATACCGAGTACTTCACGCGTTGATGGGACGGAGTCCTTGCCGGAAGAAAAACGGCTCAATGGAAGTAAATCGTACTCATACGTTTTCTTCGTCGAGGCGGGGAAACGTGTCTACGGCACAGAAATGGAAGGGAAAAACATGGACATCGGACGGCACGAATGGAGAACGCTCTAACGCAGCGGTTCCCAGACTTATTTGAATTGCGACCCACCGGAATCCAGAATGAGGTATTTTTAAAGTAATTATGACGTGAAGAAAACTGATCGACCTTTTCTGCAGGGCATGTCTTATCCTAACCAAATGCGGATATAGTGATTTTTTATGCTGGGAAAATGTACGCGACCCACCAGTGGGTCGCGACCCACAGTTTGGGAACCGCTGCTCTAACGCATCATAATTATACAGGGTGGTCAAAAAAGAAGGCCACTTTTTTCAATGCGCATATTAGGATACGATATTTCGAGGCATTTTTTTTTCCGGTCACATGAAATGAAAAGAACGACTCAGTTACAAAATGCATTTTCTCAGACTCCAAATATCTTAAACGACGTCTTAGAAGAAAAAAAAAGAGACTGGATTCGGTTGAGGCGTTGTGCATACCGACCCCCTACGTCGACAGGCACATCTCATCCTTGCGACATCTGCTGAGGTCAGCGTTTCCCTCCCCCCCCCCCCCCCCCCCC